ACAGGACTTTCTCATGTCTTGCTGTATCAGGTTCCCCTGCCCCCCCCCCCCATCCTACGCCATGTCTGGGCATGCAGAGAAGCCCTGTCTCAGGCTGTAGTGTAATGAGAATTTGTGATTATCAGGTTGTCAGCCTGCAGACCTTCATTCTGCCAGGGAAAAGGGCTCACAGTCTGAAAGGTAGGAAGGGGGTCTTTCTCTACCCTTCCCCCTCCCTATAGACTGGCTCCATACTAAAGTATAAGGAGCATCTCAGGCAGTATGTGACAGAACGGGGAACCAGAGGACTCCATTTCCGATGCAGCTCAACCATCATGCGATTACAGCAAGACAAATGAAAAATCCCCTCCCATGTTCAAAATGACTCCTGATTTAATGCGTAAAGCCTGAGAGTGACACTAGGTTGCTCCTGAAGTAATTACCAGGGTGATAGCCAGCGTGGGCAGTAGATTGCGGAAATAGCCCACCAGCTAGCCTTCGAAAGAACACCAATCAGGATATTTGTTCCAGTGCCCATCTCAATCAAGTGGTCCCTAGGCCAGGATGAATAGCATGCTACCTCCCTCCTCCCAACAACCAGAGGAAGTCTCATACGCACACCACAAAAAACTAACAAAACCCAAAAAACTCATGACTCTCACAGGGCAACAAGCCAGTGGCTCACAAAGAATTCATTAATAATAATAAAATATTCCCCTTTAAGCAAAATTAGATACAGAGTTTCCAGTATGTGCCTGCTTTAAGAACATCATAAGATCTGAACGGGGATTTCTGGTTAAAACTAAATGTTAAACTACAATGTTATATAAAAATGGATGAAAATTCCATAAACTTTGGGAAGCTACAGTTGGTGCAGCAGTAGCTGCACCAGTGAAAGACAGTCAAACCATAAGAAAGGGGCTTCCTTCTAAAAGATCCCTTATAGACTGTAAGAGTGATTCAGATCCTATCCTTAATAAGGAAAACCAACTTGATGAGCCTCTTGCTTGCTACTATCTGGGGGTGTGATTTTTGCTTTGAATGTCAGAGGTCCCAGGTTCATATTCTGGTCAATTCTGGCAGCAGCATGTAAAATATTATTTCTTTGCAATATTTCCTGACTCTTGATGTGATTTGGGATGAGCATTGGCGCCTAACTCCATGGCTACACCATGAGTACCAATCACTCATCCTAAACAGATACCTTGTACAGCCAAATTTATACGTGAGAGGCCATAGAAAACTTTGGAGAAATTAATATCTGAGAATGCTGAGCGGCCTCAACCATCTCTATGAAATCCACCATAGCAATCTGTTGGTCACCACCAACAGGGTACTGAAGAAGGGACTTTTTCTATTAGCAGAGAAAATAATCTGGAACAGAAGCTCCCAAGGAAGACCTAGATATTTTTTTTCTTCACAAACTAATAAACCTCAGCATGACAAAGACAAAATGAGCATTGGTGTATGACAGCTCACAGTTCATGTACAAGACTCTGCCTTCTGATCCATCCTCTGCACCCAAAGTCTTAAATGGCATTTAGTAGTTACCCATCTATACATATTTATGGATAATTTCACAATCCAGTTCCTGTTTAGAGAAACAGACCCCTCATAACTTGCCAACTGCTAGAAAGGATTCAAATGCACCAGTTCAAAATCAAGAATGGCTTTTTGAGCCCAACACAGAAAACTGTCAAAAAAGAAGAGTCAAAAAAGGCCTAGCACAGGTGAAGATCACCACGATGAAGATTTGCAAAGATCGAAGACATCATTGCAAAAGTTGTTTCCTACCAGCAGCCAACTATAGTTAACTGTCTCCACTGACTAGGTTTACTGGTTTATGCATCAGTATCAACCTGTGCATGCGATTTCACACAATGTGCCTTCAGAGATTCCTTCTGAGGTTGTAGAATAATATATCTGATGCAGTGCAAAATTAGGTGTCATTCTTGGATCATGTCTGAATGCCCTTTTATGGGCAAGTACAAACAACTTGCTGACAGCTTACTCAGTTTTCACTTGTAGACCCTTGCATACTTGCTACACAAGCAAGCGTTGCAAGGTGTGGTGCATATTTGGAAGAGATGATGATTCAGGATTTATGGTCCCTTACTTAGCAAAAGGAAAGCATCCAGCTCTCTGAAGCTCACACCTTGTGCTACATAATTTTGCAAAATCTCAGAGTACATATCCTTTTAGTTCACTTTAACAGCTCTAGCAGGCTAGCAGCAGAGTGGCTGAACAAACACATATAGGAATGCCCATATTTGGTCAGACCGTAGCAGCCAGGACTTCCTCTGTTAATGGTTAGTACCAGCTGCAAGAGGAAAATGCAAGAAACCCCATAGTGGACAGTTATAGAACAACTTGCCCCCAGAGGAACCTTCCTCCTGGGTAGTTAGAAGTTGGTTTATGATCTTAAATTTGAATGTTTGTATCCCTTCCAAATCCAGTAAGTAGCCAGAGGTCAAAATTTCTATGTTGCATTTGAAATAATGTCCTGGTCAGAAGAATTTGCTGCTTTTAAAGACAGTTCACATAAAGGGTACAGAAAAGAAGACACAAGAGCTGAAGTTGTCATCCTAGCCCTCCACTGGTTTGGACTGAATAGACAGTCAAGGAACTTTCACTGCATCTGTGGAAAAGAACAGATCTCTTGAAGTAGGGACACCTCCTTCATCCTGACCTGAACCATCTAGTTAACAGCCTGCACATCAGAAGAGAAGTGTAGTTCAGCAGGAATTCTCTATTGCCTCATTGATACATTTTGGTATCTAGGCAAAACTTAACCAGAAAATTTCAATCATTGATGTGGTCAAGTTTCATTTCTGGTATGAAGGGAAACAGTAAGCTCCCTCTGTACAGTGCCCAACACAATGCCACCTTGGCCTCTAATTAATGCAATTAATAATCCGAAAGTTCTGGCAATCTTAGCTTCATTAGAGTTTCTGCTGGATGGCTGGTCAACATCCTGCAACCAAGCACCATGAAAAGTTGCTGTCAGTGCTAGTGGCATTCTTTATACAGATGTATCTGACTCTACAACTAAGTATCATTAGGCGTCAAGATTGATCAGCCTGGCCAGACTAGACAAACCTGTGGCTGGCCTTTCTTGTTTTGTTCCAAGCTTCCACACTTCTTTGAAAGGATGCAGCATACATGTGCAGTCCTAGAGATCTAAAGACATCTCGGGGATACACACACCAGGCATATCCTGTTCATCTCATTTACTCTAAATGCCAGGGTATGAGAGCTTCATAGTTGCTATGGGCAAGATGTTAAAATCCTGAGCCAGTTGTTGTGCTAGCCATCTGGGAAACCATGCATGGAGGGCATCAAGGCTGCCCTTTACGTGGGTCCTAGTGGCACTGTGGAAAGAAAGCATCTCATTTACACAGTAGGTTTCCAATCCTCTGTAGCGACATCCTTTATTAGAAAGTTGCTGCTGGATTGGCTCCTAAACAAATTACAAAGCTGTGCTTTTATATAGAGGGAAGTTCTATTTCTGCCTATTATTCTGCTGTAACAGTAATTAAAATTCCTCTTTCCACTTCTCCCATTTCTGTGATTCTGTGATGAATGAGGAAAGAAGCTATGCAGCACAATGAGAAATTTCTTACATGATACATTTTTTTTCTGTTAGTAGCTTCTCTTCTCATACAACCGACTCTGGAAGACCAGAATGTAACTTCTAACTTACAATAAATTGATTTTTTTTTCCTTTAAAGGGAGACAAACACTAGTCAACAGAATTTCCTCTTAATGCTGTTTATCGATTGCTGGACTCTTTCTATAGTTTTGGAAGAACTTCTTTGGTAAGCTGAGTTGAAGGGCGGGGCTTCGTCCTAGAGCCCTCAGTAACAATATTGCACCATTTAGAACTTGACAGTTGAGAGGTATTACCCGTTAATGATGAGTGAGGAGAGAAACTGCTTGGGGAAGTTTTCTTTCTAGAGCACTTAGACTTTTTGAATGGTTCATTTGTCCCTGGATAGATCTATATTGCATCAGTGTATACCTAGAATGTTTCCTTTAAAAGAACACTCTGTGTCCCAGAATGGATCCCAAATGCCGGCCATTTGAAATTGCTGGGATGAAAAGGTTTGTAAATTTCTACACCAATATCTTGTTTGAATCTGTCACTGTGAAATTACAAGAAATAGGTTATGCTCACTCTTCTGACCCTATAGTGGCACCAAACTATAAATGCGAGGTCTTATGTTGTTAAATCGTTTTAAAAGTATACTTTCATAAATTGGAGGGCCCTGTCTGTCTTATTTTAAATTTGCCAATCAAAAAAAAAAAAGAAAGCAATTAAAGAGGAATTTTAAAGTGATCTTAACAGATGATATTTTTATCCTGAGACTTATTAGTTAGAGGCATTTTGGCAAAGACAGTTAGCCAGCATGCAGTGATTATGTGCATACAAGTGTTACAGCCACTCGCAGAGAGCATTACAGCAAACGTGCTTTCAGATATTAATAGACAATAGCGATGAGACTTCATAAAGCATCTAGTCCATGTTCTTGCCATTGCTAGTGTTTCCTCATTGTGTACCCTAGGGTTTTGTCGAGTCTATTTTGCAATAAATCCCATGAAAACGCCTAAGATCAATTTAAAATTTAAAGGTTTCTTTTCTGTTGAGAATATATTAATGTTTTGACTTTTCATTGCCCCTGGCTCTGCATTTTCAAAATCTTTCCTTGCTTTGTTCCCACAAGACACAGTAAGACATAAATATGCCTTGTGGTTTGTTGTCATACAGAAAGCCATGGTCTTATGTTGAGATAGAGATAGAGTCTGAAATGTCAGCAAGGGCAATCAGAAAACCACAATGCTGAGAGAGAGCATTTTCACAGCTTCTTTCTGCCACAGTCTCTATAAAGGCAGCCAAGCTTTACAAAACCATGTTCAACCAGCTATATAAATACTAAATGCTTCCTTTTTTTTTTAAAGCCACAGGGAAGTCAGAGAACCTGTGAGTTCCCACTAGCTCTCATCATGTGATTTAATACTCTTAGCCTCTAATACAGCCCACATTTTAACATGGCGGTTCGCATGCAGCTCCAATGATGTTGGTTCAGTCCTCTCGACACTATTACCTCCCCTTCCCTCAACTGCAAAAATCCACAAATGTCAGTAATGATGGCTACAATTTTTAAAAATACAATCATGGAAACGTAGTCTTAGGCAGTCATGCCTAAACGTCAAATTGACATGTGATCTTCAACCTTAGGTTGCTGACACTTGACATCTTGGGGCCCAACACCTAAGGCTGGAGCGACCAAACTTTCAAAATTTCCACATAGAGCAAAGTGATGTGATGATTTTTTTGGTACTAGCTAGTGGCTGAATACAAGGACAGCTCTCTCGTAAGAGCTGCAAAGTTAAATTCAGAGTTGCTTGAGTAGCACATAGAAATCAATTGCTTAGTGACAAAGCAAGATAGAGGCAAAAGACTACATTAGTGGATTTCCTAGCCCTGTCCTCAATGATACTGAGCATCTTGACGGCAATAGGAATTGAGGGCACTTGGCACGTTACAGGAGCCCAGAAGGACCAGCCTCCACCAAAGTTAAAATATATACAGCCTCTTCTTAAAAATAATAGGAGACCTCAGGGATGGGGCACATCAATTTGATCTAAGTTATGTTCTAATGTGGTGCTTCATGTTCAAAACAGCATATGCACTGTTCTTGTGGTTTGCACAAAAATGGAAACGTGAGTGATTATTTTGGGTATAACTTTATACTAGTGATTTGGTGACCACCCATCCAATTATGGTTCTGTAACTTTTGCTTTTTTCAGTATTTTTATTCAGGAATTGTTTTCTAAAATTTGCCATGACCTAATTGCAACCTGAGATTATTGTTCTTTCTTTTGCACAAACTAACAAGAGACGGATAGTACTACAGCTAAAATACATGGACGGGAGTCAGGAGACTTTGCTCAGTTCTTCCACAGGCTTCCTCTGTGACCTTGGGCAAATCTGAATCTTGCTGTATTTCACTTTATCCATCTATAACATAACAACTATGAAACTTTCTAACATCACAAGAGTGAGGAAAGAGTGAATTCATGAATGTTTGAGCACTGAGGCCTAGATTCACATGGGGGACTTGGGCGTAAGTTTTTACTCGTGGGTATGTGCAAATCCAGCCATGGCCCCCACGAGAATATAGTATTCTCTAGTATTGCAACTTTTTTTTATGGAAGGGGCCCCCAAAATTGCTTTGCCCCAGGCCCCCTAAATCCAGCTAAGGCACAGTGGAACTCACAAAACTTGACGTTCTGCAGGCTCACTCTCCTGAAGTCCCTTGGTGAATCTAGCCCTGTGTTCCTTGGGTGGAAAATTTGAAGGAAAGAAAGTATTATTTTGTGGTTTTGGTAAGATCTTAATTTTTAGTGTAACCTCTTAAAGTAATATTTCTGTTAATTATATAGTACCACTTGTGTTTTCAGTGCATTGCAGAAAGGTATCCAGAAGTCCTCAATTATACAACTGTGTATAAAAGAACTATAGGAGAAAATTTACATTTTTCCCCCTCTTATAAAGGAGAGAAAATGCTGCAGTCTGGAAAGTGGTGTTTGGTATAAACAATCTGGATCATCCATCAATCTTCATGCAGACCCGACTGGTGAAGACTATTATCTTGCATCCACGCTATAACAGAGCAGTAGTTGACTATGATATCAGCATTGTAGAACTAAATGAAGATATCAACGAGACAAGTTATGTAAGGCCAGTCTGCTTACCCAGCAGGGAGCAGTTGGTTGAGCCAGATACCTACTGCTACATCACAGGCTGGGGACACATGGGCAACAAAAGTAAGATGAATGCTTTCCAGACTCTTTAGAGCAATCTAACCGTCTACTAACCAGATCAACTACTTGGCTCCAATTGCAAACCACTGTGTCTTCCTCTAGTTATATACTTGTGCCTTATTAGGCCACTTATACATAATCTGTATGTATTCACAAAAGGCTATGCCTGTGTCTAGAGCTTAGCTTGTCAAAATCAGGAGCCTAAAGTTAGGCTGCTAAATACATATTTCAGCAGCTACATACATGATGTGATTTTTAAGAGTACTGCCCATCCAGGAGCTTCTACAGAGGAAATAGCCTGAAAATCCTGGCTATGCAGATGCTCCACGACTTGCGCAAGCGTTCCGTTCCAGAATGCCTTGCGTAACTCGGAAACGTATACCCGACCATTACGCAAAAAAACCCTCTTATTTCAAGCTTACGGAACTTTTTCTGTAAGTGCGGATTTGTGTAAGTCGGGTTTGTGTAACCTGGAGAGGTGTCTGTAGTCTGTTACTTGATTAAGCTGCATTTGAAGCTATGTTGAGAGTGTGTCAAATGATCAGAGGGTGATGATAATGTTAGCTGTGTGCAAAGCTTCAGGCTCAAATCTTGGCTTGTTGCTTGACTAACCAAGATTTATTTTTTTTAAACCAAAACTCTCTATAGCATGCTGTGGCCTTGTGCCACTATTTACCCCACCTCCCACCTAATCCCCGGGTGCCTCTTTTCTGCCCAGAAAGGTTTTTATTAATTGTAAGGGCCAGGGTCCCATGACACAGAGCATAGGGGAAATGTTGTGGCTGCTCTGGCTCTTAAGTACCAGTGATGTGGAAATATTTCTCTTTTTTTATTTATTGTAATCATTAGCAGGGGAAGGAGGTAAGCCCTGAACTCTTAAATGCCACTGACTGGTGTAGTCTGTTTGCTAACAACAAATCCATTCTTTCCGCATACACCTAGTCTAAAGGTAGCAGACCTAATGATGCAGTGATGATCTTTCATACCATTGGACAATGGCAAAACGTGGTGGTGGTGGTGGTGTTTTTTACTGGCCAGAACTGTCATGTTGTCAATGACATCACTTTCAAAGTTACAGATTACTAAGCACCATAAAACAAAGGTGTTCATCTTGATTGCATAGTGGTTAGTACTTTGTACTCTAAGTTTAACAGTTTCCCTTCACCTTTGAGTTTCGGCAGAGATTTACAGCAGGGAACAAGTCTTCATTGGCCCCTTCGGAACAGGATGAATGGTGTGATGTCTTGCTCTCCTCTGATAAGCGCTCTGAGGCTCATCTACACAGGCATTTAGTTCATGGCCAGTCTAGCTCCCCACACACTAAGTGGCTGTGTGGATCATGCTGCTATGCACTAACTGTTTCCTAGTGCACTTTCAGCAGCTCCTGACCACTAGAGAACTTTTAGTGTGTAGGAGAAGGGTGCACACAGACCATGTGTGCAGGCTAGAGTCACACCCCTGCTTGCCGCGAACTAAGCCCTCACGTAGACACCCCCAGAGTAACGCCATCAGCTTTGATGGGTTTATTATACCAAGTATGAGGGTGACAGTGTTGTTGTGGACATGGCTTTTGAGCCCCAAGTATATGCTCCCTAATTATGCCTTCTTCCCAACCCCTATTCTCAAAAATCCCATAACATGTCTTTTAAAGGCTCCCTTCCCAGTCTGTCAACTCTAAGTCTGATTTAGCTGGAGGCACAATATAAAATGCTTACCCACTCTGGAATAGAAGGTGGGCCAATCTCCACCCATATTCCACTGTCCTGTGAGCTTGAGAAATGTGAATCCTTACTTGTGGGAGTATATGAAACTACGCCCGTGCTCCCCCCCTTCCATGGTGGTCTGTACTGGTGGGGATGGGGGAAAGAAGCTTTTCTTCTTATATTAAATACATGTTTAAAGCTAATTTTATTATCATTACTATTTTTAAGTTTAGCCTATTATCGTAGAAAAGAATGAGGCAATCTCAACTAGCAATGAATACAAGTATTTCTATACATTACCGTGCATACTTTAATACAGATTTTTTTTCAGTGCCTTTTAAACTTCAAGAAGGAGAAGTTCGTATTATTTCCCTAGAACAATGCCAGTCATACTTTGACATGAAGACCATCACCAGCAGGATGTTATGTGCAGGATATGAGTCTGGAACTGTGGACTCTTGCATGGTAGGCCTTTTTCTGAGTAGAAACATGAAGCAGATTTTTTTAAAATAAAAGTCTAAGCACCTATGGTATTTCAATAGGCACTAGCGGTTAGTTCTGATACAGAGGTAACATTAATTTTCATAGTGGTTATTTAGAAATGGACTCAAACATTTTTGACCCATTATTTATTTCTATTGGTACAATCAACTTTGAAATGGATTATGATTGTATGCAAGTTTGTCACAGAGTCCGTGACTGTCCATGACCACCGAAATGGCTGGTGTGCCTGGCCCCTGCCCCAGTTGCATCAGCAGAGTTTAGGTATGGTAGGAGGGGGAAGGCAGGCTCTGGGAAGCAGCAACATGCCCCTGGCTCAGCTCCTAGGCAGAGGTGTGACTAAGCAGTTCTGCATGATGTCTCCACCTGCAGGCATCGCCCCTACAGATCTCATTGGCTGCGGTTCCTGGCCAATGGGAGCTGCGAAGCCGGCACACTGGGCAGAGTCAGCATGTGGAGCTGCCTGGCCACACCTCCACCTAGGAGCTGAGTGAGGGGGATGGCTCTGCTTCTGGCAAGGCGTGGAGCTAGGTCAGGAGCCTGCCAGCCCCACCATTTCCCCCCAGGCACACAGCCACCCCATGTCCCTCCCCCAGTACAGGTCCTGGGCTGCCCGCTGGCACCTGCCTTCCCAGGCCACCCCTCCCCAGATTGAGTCAGGGCTACATAGTAAAAGTCGTGGACAGGTCATGGGCAGTAAACTAAAACATAGCCTTACTTATAAGCTACTGCTTAAAGCCTCTAAATAGTAGTGTGTTTTAAGTAGTACGCTGATTTTTTTTTCTTTAGTTGGTGTGAATATTTATTTTTTTGTATGAACATACCAGCCAACCAAACCTTATTGACATTGTTTCAAAATATTAGCAGTCTAGTTCGTATGCTGTTGTATAGATAAGCTGAAACCTATTTTTACAGCTGCATTAGTCATGAAAAGCAGATTTTATAGAAACTCAGATATAGCTTGAGCCATAATGGCATTGGCTGTAACATCCACACGTTGTGTTTTTCCCTCTCCCATTACAGGGCGACAGTGGAGGACCTCTCGTTTGTGAGCAGCCTGCAGGACGCTGGACATTGTTTGGTTTAACCTCATGGGGCTCAGTCTGCTTTTCCAAAGTTTTGGGACCTGGAGTTTATAGCAACGTGTCACACTTCACTGAATGGATTGAAAGACAAATATACATTCACACCTTTCTACTAAACTAATGCCAGAAGGGTAGTGTTGTGCTGACACACAAGAGGCAAAGATCAATGGCCTTTAACCATTGAAGATTGTGCAATCACGATACTTAAGAAGAAGTTGCAAGCTCTGTGTTGTTGATGGGGAGGTATGGAAAATGCAGCATAAATAAATTGATTAAACTCTCTGCCCCTGGCGATACGTTGGGGCACAACACTATTTTTGTAATCCTTTTGACTTTTCCTTTAGCTGTATTGTGTGCATTCCAAGCACAACACAAGGCTTAAAGGAAGAATCAGCCAACCTTCTGCCTTTCAGACATTTAAATTAAGCTGTAGTACAGACTTAGTAAAACTATAAAACTTTTTGGGAAAAATAAACAGTAGCACACACAGTTTTAGCCTACAATTCTTGCAGTGAAGAATAAAATCAATACATTCTCAAAGATGACACTGAGGTCTATATTAAAATTAGCCCTTCTCTGCTACCTCGAGTTTGCTCCCATGTTAGCATAGCAGGGCCTTGTCAGAAATACAACCAGCATGGGAGAATGTGTAGTTCTTTGAGACAACTGATAAGTGGGATGGTTTAGATACTGTCACACTACAATTAAGTCACATAGTTCAGACTACTGTTAAGTGAAACATTTACCTCTAAAATTCAGTACCTTCTGTTTTGATTAACCTAATCTAACCTGTACCAGATAGTGTCCTATAGAAATAGTCACTGTATTCATAAAAGTAGTTTAAAAGTCCAAAACACTTAATATTTAAGTCACTGTTGCATTGCAGTTTCACCTAGTGACATGACAGTATGTTTCATTGTATATTATGGGCTTAGGGGACAGCAAAATAACTCTCCCCAACCTCTAAATAATACAGCTGCATCCAAATTTCTCTAGTTCAGGGCTGCATCTAACTCATGCAAGATAAGATAGATTGTCGACATCCTAATCTCAAATGCAAAAAGGTGTGGAAATTACAACTTCCAGTAGCCCAGGCTCCATCTTTCTCCGTAGGACCAGGTCCTCAGCTGGTGTAACCAGGTGTAGCTCAGTTAAAGTCAAAGGAACCATATTGATATAAACCATCTGAAGCTCTGGCCCTTAATAGAGTGGAGCTGGGTTCTGAAATACAGGATTTTTAGGGAGTTTTGTTTTCAGTATTAGGAAAAAAAATTGAAAAGATGCTGTCATAAAATGAACAGCCTCTCCTGCCGTCTCTGTTCACCAAAAGATGTACTTAAAGTTGGCTTTGATTTTATTGTAAAGCACTGGAACACTTAAAGCCATTCTATGTATATGTAAGCACTGCCAAGAAATAATAATTAAGGTAATTTCTTATTTCCTCATTGATTACTTGGGCCTCAGCCTACCACCAGTTTTCTAGCAGAACTCCCCAGTAAAATAAATGAGTTCTGCTTAAAATCTGGTGGCACCATATAGCCCATTGAATATAATCACCTTTGTTAGGAAAGTATGCATCCCAAGTGGCATTAGAAAGGAGTAGTAGTTTTTTTTTCCCAAATAATTTCTGCCACAACATTCCATGTAAAGATGATATTTGTAATTTTATAAATGTATTTTTATACTGCTTTTCCCCCTCTATATGTGCACATAATAATGTATGTAGGTTTTAAAGAGTCAAACTTACTCCCTCCTTCCAATGTATTAGTCCTTTCCTGAGTATTGTCATAACTCTGACAATCAGAATTATCTAACAATTGTATCCCCATTTTAAGGTGATAAAACACATTTGTTGTTTCACTTCTATCACAGCTCCAGCTCCACATGGAATTAACATTGCACCAACTAGATAGATGTGTTTATTTCTACCCATATTAAACAAATATGTACAACAATTTTCCAATAATTTCTGTGATCTAAAATAAACATGTTTTTATTCTGGCCAGAGACTCAGTTCAAATGGAAGGAGTTAGAGGCAAGGCGATACCTCTACTCTCTTGTGATTGCGTTTTTCAAATAGCCATATTGGCATACATGTGACAAGTTGCTTACCATACCACTGCTAGCCTTTTCTTAGCACAGTATCAGCCTGTTCAGGTTCTGTCTCTACAACTTACCCATATTTCTCATGGGTGTTACCAATAAAAAATATTAATAGGAAGATGAAGAAGTGTGACTGCTTACAAATATTTTGGATTAAATTACATTTTTGTAGTGGGAAATTAAAAAAAACTTACTAAGCCATATAATCTTCTCTGAATATCTTTAGATCAGTATTTCTCCAATGACATTATTTCAAAATGATTAGCATTGATATGGACAAATAATAGGCAGAGTTTCAGCACAATGTAAATGTGCAGAGAGCAAAATATCAGTTGTAACGTAACTAGAACTAGACAGAAAGATTCCATGAAGCCTTCCATCCCCTGTATGTTACAGTTGTACTTTCACGATGACTTTGAATCAACTTGTATGATAGCCTGAGGCTGTTAGTGCATTTTTACTGAAAAGCTATGCTTGAGGTGAATGATTATTTTCCACTTTGTACAAGAACACAAAGTTAAAGCTAATGCTTCAGTGTAACTAACCTTTCAACTTCACACTAATGTTTAAGACACATACATCATAGATGGAGTGAGAACATCTGACTAGCAAACCGGCCTCATTAACACCCTCTGTTTTTTCCCCAGCTTTAATGTCAAGCCCCTTGTCATGCAGTGGCCCTTCCAGTTCCCAGGTGCCCTCTGGTGGGCTCACAGCAGCCCTGCAAGCAGTCCCTCACCTCCGTTTCTCCTCTTGGTGCCTCGAACTCAAAAAGAGGTTTTCATAAGTCCAGTAACATAAACCAGATCCTCAGGACGGCTGTTAACTTAAAGTTCAAAATCAAACACAATCTTCCTTCCAGCCTCAATCTGGAGACAGATCCAAACTCCCCCGTGTCTCAGGGTCTTCCCTGCTATATAGCTTCCTAGCTGGGGCGTCTTCCCTGCAGGGGCCTCTCACTCTCTAGTTTCCTGAACTCCCCTCCACCCACACTTCTACCTGAGGACTCTACAGCTTCCTGCTGCTCTTATTGAGGAAAATTGGGATTCTTGCTCAGGTGTGCCTCTTCAGTAATCAGGGTTGGTTGACCCCAGGCCTTTAATCTTTAAGGGGCAAGCCACCTATTATACCCCTTGAAAGCACTACTGTTTGCACAACTGGACTATGGACAGTGCAATCAGAAATAGTGAAACACTTTATCATCTCCCTGTTACAAAGATGACAGTGGCTGGTTGTGTGTGTGCTCAAACTCCATTCAAATGGTGGGATCTGGTTGTCTGTACCGAGACTAGTTTCACAGATTCACCTTTTTACAACAGTCAAACTACGTAAAGTAAAAAAACCTTGCTATGCGGAAAAGACACCTATTAAATGAAGGGCATGACTTACTTACCAGTTTGCAAAACAGTTTTTGTCTTAAGATTTATTACTGGCTAATGCTGCTATTGTTAAGATTTTTTTTTTTTTAAACATTTCCTTTATGGTTCTATACTTTCGGAGATTTATAGCAACATTAAAATTTGCTCTGGAAAACACGAATATAAAAAATCAAAACACAAGTCAATCAGGATTTGCTTGTACTCAAGATTAAAAAAATAAAACATCAAAATTAAAAGTGAATTAAAAAAAAGGGATTGTGCCCATTTTTATGCTACATAAAGGTGGCCAGAAAGATAGCTTTAAAAGACATTTTTTAAAAAATTAAAAGTTCAGGTCATGTATAGCTTGGGAAATTTAGTGCTGACAGATGAAAAAAGTTAAGTGCTAACATTTAGCTGTTAAGAAAGAGACATTTACTCAAACTGATTAAAAACATTAACTTGTAGGGCTGATCTACACAATTTTTTTTTTTTAACCACTTAACTGTATAAGTGCAATGCTCTAGGCCTGGTCTGCACTTAAAGTTAGGCTGACATAACTATCACACTGAGGAGGTTTGTGAAAAGTTCCACCCCCCCCCCCCGCAAAGCCATAGCTATGCCACCCTAACCCCCACTGTAGACACTCTACGTCAATGAAAGAATTCTTCTGTCAACCTGGCTACCGCTGCTCAAAGAGATGAATTACCAGCATCAATGGAAAAACCCTTTCTACCATGGCTGGGAGCAGCTGCACTATGGTGCTACAGTGCCCTAGCTGTGCACAGTGAAAATACAATACAAGTGTGGATACAGTTTATACCAGTATAAAGATGCTTATGGTCCCGATATTTGGGGCTGTGTGTTATATAGGCACCCATTACCTCCCCACCCCCGTTCCTATTTTTCATACTTGCCATCTGGTCACCCTATTATACTACAATGGATTCTCATAAAATGACTTAGGCCCTCTCTAAATCAAGGAAACACACATCTGTATGTTATCACATTACGGTGCATTGGTATAAACCTTTTGTACTGGTGCAGCATGTTTTCATTAGAGTTTTGCGCCAGTGCAACTATGTCGTTTTGTAGTGTATTACACACACACACGCAGGAGATGGTTCCTCAGTTTTTCTGAAATCCTTCTGCCGAGCTGTTCAGCATATTTAGAGTTATATGTACTAGTCAGAGGGTTAAGACTTCAAAAAAACTGAGGAACTATCTCTGGCACCTCACGTGTTCTTGCACTATCTGTTCTACCTTTGTATTTAGCTGCAACACTCTGAATACCTTTCCCAAACCTGAAGAAACGCTCTGTATAAACTTGAAAGCTTGTCTCTTTCACCAAACAAGCTGGTCCAATAAAAGATATTACCTCACTCATCTTGTTTGTCTAACATCCTTGGACCAACATGGCTACAACACACCAAACAAAAATAGTTAGAGACGTCCTTACTGTTCTCAACTGCATTCTGAAAAAGGAATTGTTTTAAAATTAGCACTCAATGATAGCATGTGGTGATCTAAATTTGTATGAACTTATAATAATGCCTTTAAATATCAGTTCAACAGCAACCCACCAGTCCTCATAGCATTTGTTTAAATTCTTTCAGAAGTCTTAAAAAGGTGAATAATGTAACGTTAAACATTAAAAAAGAAATCTCATGCTGCAATTAAAAGGCAGAGGCCTTCCAGTACCCTAAAGTACCCAAGTACAAAAAACCCCATACATTCTTGCAATTTTGCAAGCAAAAAATTTCAGAAGGAAACAGAAAATGGGCTCAAATACTAATAATTTAATAGGAGCTGCACTTTTTGAGTTGTGTTTATTTCAGTAGGCCCTAGTGGACTCTAATAATTCCCTACATTGCTGCATGAATTAGATATGTAACATAAAATAATTAAAAAAACAAACAGGCAATATTTTAAACAGCCTGGGCTAAAGAAACAGACTCAGATTCTCAACCTGTGGTTCCTACCGGTGGCTTGCAGAACAGCTGAAAGGTCATATGGTGCTGAATCTCTTCCGTGTTTCTAGTCGCTTCTATAGGAATCTAGGTGGTTAATTTAAAGAGGAGTCTGGAGGCTGCAAAAGCAGCTGATAGCAAAGAAGATGAGTCATTCAAGCCACCTCTACTGGGGCGGCTGTGATATAACAGGATGTCTTCAGGGACTGGAGTGCCAGTGGGACTGGAGCTGTCAATCATCCTTTGGAGAAGACTATCCAAAAGAGAAGGAAATGAGGTAACGAGGCAGCACATCCTGGCGAATGGGCACCAAGTGTCAAGAAGTAAGTGTAGATAGGGCAGAAGGGATTGGGCCAGCCAACAGAGAAGCACATGAAGGGGAGCCAGGGAGAGAAACAGAAGAGGTGTGGGAGGAGGATACAAATTATATGAACAAAAGGAGATGCAGTGATTTGTTCTTTCAGAAACAAAAACTTCATATTAAACAGTTAAATACACATCATGCCACTCTTCTATATTCTACCTGAAGAGTTGCTGTAGCTAACGGTCTATGTTATTCAGCTGTCAGCGTTAAGGTGCCCATGCGACAGCAAATGGGAGGAGAGGTCTGTACTATGAAAAAAATCTGAGAATCCTTGCAATAGACCAGTGTGTTGATGTCCCCTAACTTAATGGAGTTTTGCTTACAACTAAGGTTGGGGGTTTGTCACAGAGATCATGGAAGTCACGGACTCCGTGACTTTGTGACCTCCGTGACTTCTGCAGCGGCCAGTGTGCCTGGCAGCTCTGTGGGCTGCCTCCACTCAGAGCAGTGGCTTCGTAGATCCCATTGGCCGGGAACCGTGGCCATTGGGAGCTGCGAGGGCAGTGCCTACAGGTGGAGGCAGCCATGCCTCCGCCTAGCAGCTAAGCAAGGGGGATGTCACCGCTTATGGGGAACCACCCAAGTAAGCGCCGCCCAGAGTCCACCTCACCCCGTCCCGTGCCCCAACTCCCTGTCCCCTCCCACACCCAAACTCTGCTCCTGCTGAGGATTGGGGGAGACATGGATCCAGGTAAGGAGCCTGCCGGCCCCACCAACTCTCCCCTCCAGCACCAGCAGGGATTCCGGGCCATGCGTTGCCATCCACCACACCTCCTCCCCAAGTTTTAGTCAGGGGTATATAGTAAAATCATGGACAGATCACGGGCCGTGAATTTTTGTTTACTGCTCATGATCTGTTCGTGACTTTTACTAAAAATACCCGTAAGGCAGGCTATGTTTTAGTCACATCACACAAATAGGTGCGCGAGATTAAGGCAATAGCAGAATTTTTGTTCAGCGATATAGGTGAGCGAGGGTGCTACCAAGACAGTCAAGCTCACCTGGATTGGCACCCAATGTTCCTATAACTCCACTGGTCACACAAGAAACTTCTAACATGATCTGTATGAATCTATAAAGTTAGAAGCCATTCTCAGCTTGGAGAAAAGTAGTTGGCCAAAAAGTAGTTAAGCAACACAACAACAAAAATGATACTGGTTCATCTTGGGAATATTGTGAGGCATGAGGCAAACAGATTAATCGCTC